TTACCCCCACTCCTTAAATAAAGGCAAACGCTCGGTCTAGATATACTATGTCTATGCCCATAGATATATAGGCCGGTATTCATAGTCAGTTCTTATATTTAAGATCGTCTTAAGCCCGTATCAGACTACGCATTGAAGATTGAGATTGAAGATTGAAGATTGAAATTTGACCAATCAGGATAAAGAAATTTTAGTTCCTTTTGTTCTGATTAGTCAAATTTCAATCTTTAATCTTCAATCTTCAATTTTCAATGCGTAGTCTGATACGGGCTTTAGTAATATTGTAAATATGCATAAAACAAATAATTTTACCTCGCATAAACATGAATGATTTGATGGTATCCAGTTTTTATATTTGGTATTTATGTTATTATTCCATTGTACTCGGCGTTGAGTATTTCTCGGTAGTATTTTCATTACATATTCCTTCTCTGAGGAATTATTACATAATGGTATTGTGCGTCCAACCATGTTTCTTAAATATTAATTTTTTATAACAAAAATATCAATAAAATTGCTGTTTTCGTCGGCTTAACAGCTAATAACCTGACTACAGACTACTACGGACAGAGATCGCACATATCTCTTTCTCTCACACGATTTCGATTAAACATGGCGGAACTCTCCTTATGGCGTCACTCTGATTAAAGGCTCTCTAAGCTAGAAAAAGCGTCGTTCGAAAAACGGCGGCATTACCTTTCATGCTTCTTTCAGATAATAATCGTATATAGTGAAAAATTTGGGTTTTCTTTCATTATTTTCTCAATCTTTACAATATTTATCGTTGAAAATCATAAATTTAATAATTAGTATTTATTCAGAATATTAAACAAAAGTAGTAGAGATAATTTAATGTCAAACAATATAAGAGTTGTAAACTGTTGCGATTGTAAGAATTGATACTGTTAGATATTTATATATGATCTTCATATGTATACATGTATTATTTTGTTTCAATTAAAATAAACTTTGAATTAATATTTGATGCAAAATATGTGTGCATAAAGTTTGTTAATTGAGAAATACAAGTCCTTCATGTACATCGACACATTGTGATTTATAATTTGTACTCTGTAAAAATTCAAGAGATTGAAGAATACATCATAACATTGTTTTATTTACAAGTTTCAAGCATTTGTCGACATATAAGAATTGTAAAAAAAGATATCGCAGAAAATCGGTATAACAATGGACCAGCTCAAAATTATTGTTATAATCAGACAGTTATGTGCACAGTCAATCATGTATTTCATTCATTATACTACACATGATCATTTCTTTCCAGATTTTTTTATACCACCAGTGACTAGAGGACCTTTTTGACTGGCTTTTTTTGCTGCTTCGGCTAATGCTTTTTGTTGCTCTTTTTGCTTTTGCTTGAAAGCTACGTCTTGATCGTCTAAAACTTTTGATTCCTTCTTTGGTGCCTTTAAGGGCTTTTTCTTACCTCCATCTCGACCAGACATTCTAAAGCATACAAAAATTATTATATATTACAATTAACTAATTATTAATTAGAAAAAACACTAGCTTTAACAACAAATGTCAAATTAAATCAATGTAACCTCTGATGAAACACAATCAGAAAAACAGTAAACGTGTGTGTGTGTGTGATTTTAAATAACAATTATTTAATAAATAAAAATGGACATTAAATATATAATTAATACTAACACTAAATAAACAATTCATATATCACATAAATATACAGGAAATATATACTCTTAAAAATCATGCATGTAACAGTTTATACTGTCGCAAATACTATTTTTAAAACTTCTTAGAAATAAATCATATAAATATTAAAATTTTTAACTTACTTGCAATAATAATAAATGTCCAAACGGAATTACGCTTGAGATATAAACTGTACGTTCAAAAATTCGTAGAAATTGATAAATGTTTATGCGGTAAGGTTAATTTCTCGATTCGATAATAGATTGTGCTGCCATAAGTTGTGAGCTCTAAAGACTGGATGTGTTACGCTCTTTTTCCCTTATATAGATTTGCTGAAAATTTGTTATATAAGGGATGATATTGTTTTGAGATAATGTAATAAGATTGATCGAGTATAGTTATAGCAAATGTGTGGATTTGTGCAGTTTTTAATAAGACTTTATTTAAGATTTGGAGTCTGAGGATTCAATGCAATATTGTCCATTTATAGCGGAAAACAGAGAGAAGCCTGAGAGAGGCAATGCCAGCGATTTTCGTGGGACGCTTTTTCTAGGCCGTAGGGCAGCGCCGTGCATCCACTTTTAGGAATTGGAAACACTTACCCACATCCACTTTTCGGTACTGTCGGTCATTCCTCCATATGGTTCATGTCCGTGCTACATCCACTTTTCGATAAGTTCCGACTGACAACGTGTCGGGTTCGGACGTGTTTTTGCGTGCTGCGTATGTCCTTTGTCTGGACCTTTTTTTGGACTCCCTCCTCTCTTAGAGGAGTTTTGCTTATATTCTACAAACCCATAAGAAACAATGGTGTATGGGCGACTAATGCCCAACCAGCCATAAAAGAA